TGCTTTCGAAGCACGGTGCCCTCTGCGGGATGCAGTGGAGAAGGGGCCAATAAGCCAGGGGTGCTCTGGGAGGGGATGGGGACTTCTGATCTGCACCAGGGCTCTGCATTTAGAAAGCCTTGCCAGAGTTTACAGCAGCTATTGAGTCTGTTTAAAGGGCCCGGCTCAGTGCCAGGAACTGCAGGGAACCTGAAGACACAATCAACTTCTGGAGAGACAGGATGACCAACAGAGGATTCGGGTTAATAAACTCAACCTGTGTTTGGCTACCTGATTCAAATCCCTGCTTACTAGCTTTGACCTTAGGTGAATCACTGCACTTCTCTAAGCTTAATTTCTTCGTAAACATTCTCAAGGTGTTGCAAGCATCAAATAAGATGCTACTGCAGACTGCTGTAGCCCTGGTGCATGGCACATCGTAGGTACCCAGTCAGTCTCAGCCTAAAGCGCCCTGGTCCTTCACTACCACTAAAGGACAATCCCTATGGAGCCTGCAATATGTCAGGCATCTTCCAAGGGGCTTTTTAAGCATTAACTCAATCTTCATGAGGACCCAGTGAAGCATGGAGTCATAGATCAGTTTTAAGAAACTTGTCTAAGGTTCCAGGAATGGAGGCGAGGTTAGACCCAGAAAGTCTGGCCCCTGAGTCTGTGCCTTTACCTGCCATGTTTCATGGCCTCATTTAGAGACCTACCTGTAAAGAAGCTTTGGACAGCTGTCCTATGCCTAAACTTCCTTCTCTTTAAAATAGGGATGATGAGGGACCAGCAGATGGAGTAATGGCTACGTTGCTGGACTCTCACGTAGTTCGAGTCCCAGACCTGGTGGCTTAAACTCACGCCGGGCCTGTGTGAGTGCATGCCCAAGATCCTGAGAGGAAAATGGAGAAGGGATTGCGGCGTAGCCATCCCCCCGGGGAGGGTGATTTCTCGCTTTCTGTCTCTCTACCTCTCTCTGTCTTTCTGGTGAACGCATGCACCCTATAGGAAAAGCCTCTCCAAAAAAAAAAAAAAAAAAGGGATGATGAGAATAAAATAAAATTGGAATGAGGAGAGGATCATCTAGGACCTCACAAGAATTCCTTGGGCTTTGTAACGGGCTTAGAATGATGCCTGGCACACCCTCCGCACTCAGTGAATACCACCGTTTCCCTAAGAAGTTAGAGGCAGAATGTCAGTGAGGGGGTCCAGCTCGCTTTTTGTTGGTGTTTGGCACATGAAGGTCAGCAAGGGGTGGTTTGGGAGAGATGGGGAGGGGATTGCTCCAGGTAAAGGGCCAGCCTGGGCAGAGGCGAGGAGGAGTGAAGGCAGAAAGCCAGGCGATCTGTGTGTCAGGAGCCAGGAGGCGGTTGGAGAATAGGAGGTTGGGGTCAGATTGCAAGAGACCTTCATCAGCTGTGTGTATTGTGACCTGCTGGCCATGGGCAGGCACTGAAGGTTGTCATTAGCATGCTGGCTGTCATGGGCCAGAGGGACTTCTTGTTTATTTGAATTCTGCCACCCATCCTTGGCCAACAGAGCAGCCATCACCATGGGAGGGGCCAGCAGGCCACATGTGACGCTTGCCTGTTCCCTCCATCCTTCTCAGGTTGGGGTTTCCCAAGGGGCTGGCCCCTAGATCCTGGACACATCTAGAGCTACTGGTTTAGTGCCTTTCAGCTGCTGTTTGTGTCACAAATGCCTGTCACACGAGGGGCATTAAAAATAACCCAGTGGCTAATAGCATTTCTCAAAATAACTGCTTACAAAGTACGTTGTTGGAGTGAATGGCTACTAAATTAGGCTCCCTGGTGGTGCGTGCATGAGGGGCATGTGTGTGTGTGTGTGTGTGTGTATGTATGTGTGTGTTGAAACCTGTTCCTCTTACCCCCAAGGTGAGGCCCGCAGTTGGCGCACTTCTGTTCTCTGCTCCTGCATGTCATTGCTGGTGTCCTGGGTCGTGTTTACTGGGTCACCCTGCGATGCCCTCATCCATCCTTTGGTCCTTGGTAACTTGGAGCCACTGCCCTACATTGCTCTGTTGTCCTGCCTGGAGGAGCAGAATATTGAAGAATCTTGGAGGGCGGGGTGGCCTCATTGTAGCTACAGCCTCATTCCTCGCTGTGCCAGGTAATAATAGCACACAGTGGGGGGTCTCGCTCAGTGCGCATCCAAGAGGGAACTGGGCCACGGAACAGTGCGGCGGCCCCACTCAAGGTGACCTAGTAACTGAGGGCATGGACACACAGATTTCCAGGCCTTGGTTCTTGACTGAGACTTTGGGATTCTTCAGTGGTCTCTTGGGCCAGGCTTTTGCGCCACCAGGCATCCTGGTCATTGGAATCCAGTCAATTCTCCATTCACTAAAAATGCAAAAGAGAATATGGGGTCCTAAACTGGAGTGAGCTTAAAAACAAAGTAAATCAGCACTGTAGTAGTTTGGGATTAGGGCACACAAAATCTGAGGGTGAGAGCTGGTTTTTCTTAGGTAATGACTTGCATTGAAAGAGGTGGGCCTCAGTATCCCCATCTTTGAAATGGGGATCCTTCAGTTATTCATTTAGCAAGCATTTATCGAGTGCCCGCTTCAGGCCTGGCTCTGCAATAGGCAGTGCGCTTACGGAGTGGTTGAAGGGAAAGGCAAGGTCCAGACACATTGATGTGCTGCACTTGTATGCATGTGGCAGCCCCGAAAGCCCTGGGATTCTGTGTGGTCCCAGGTGAGAAAGACATCCTTAACTTACCATCTGGATTGCTCTGCCTGCTGGCCTCGTGTGGTCCCTGGAGGTCTGGGTCCTGGAGATGAAAGCTTGTGAGTGTGTACCTGGACTGGAGTCCTAGGGAGGAGTGTAGTGAATTTCGCTGTTCCCTGTGTGAGCTGGATATGGATGGAATGTATCTGTAGTGGTCTGGAGTCGGGCAGACTCTGGACCTGAGGCAAATTGTTTAACCTCTCTGGACCTATTTTTTCAACTGCAAAATATGGATAAGCACAGCACTGACCTCCTAGGGCTGTTGTGAGGATTAAATGACATAAGGGATCCAAAGTAGCCAGCACGGAGTAGGCACTCTACATTACAGCAGTCGGCAGTCGCAGTCATGTGAATATTACACCAGGAAAAACTGTGTGTGCTTGAGTTCCAATAAATCATCACGTTCAATCAGTGATGATACTTCTGAGTACTATCAAGTTGTTGCTGTATGTAAGGGCCATCAGAGAGCTAGAGCCACTTACTGGAAACTGGCTGGGCCAACTTCCGAATGCTGAAATGAGGGCAAGGGGCATGTGTTCAAAAGTTTATATGGGATTGGGACCAGCAGTTAGCGTAATGGCTATGTCGCTGGACTCCTATGTAGTCGACTGTGGTTCGTGTCTGGACCCGGTGGCTTAAAACGCTGGGTGCATGTGTGTGTGTGCCCAAGATCCTGAGAGGAGAATGGAGGAGAAGGGATTACGATGTGGCCATCCCCCCTGGGGGGTGATTTCTCGCTTTCTGTCTCTCTGTCTCTCTCTGTCTGGCGAGCACAAGCGTCCTATAGCAAAAACCTCTCCAAATAAAAAAAAAAGTTTATATGGGATCCAACCTTGGTCATTCATGTCCTGTGTTAGATTCATGGTGGGAGTTGAATATTTAAGAGAGTTTTTTTTTGCCAGACCAGGTATTTACGAGAATTTAAAGCCAAAAGTCATTGACTTGACTCCTGCAGTTGGCAGGGACCCTTGACATTAGGACATATGATCCTTTAGCCCAGTGTTGTTTTTAAAGTTTATTTATTAATTTATGGAGAGAGAGAGAGGGAGAGAGAGAGAGAGAGAGAGAGAGAAATGCCACTGACAGCATTCTCATGCCACGATCTGCTCCCAGCCTCAGCTAGCCTGATCATAGGATATGTGTGTGCCCAGCATGTACAGGGAGGCCCCAGGATGTGAACTGGAAACCTTTCCATGTGAGTCCAGTTGTGTTATTGCTGTGTTACCTTCTGGCCCCAACCCAGTTGTTCTTAACCAGGCGTGGTTTTCCCCCATGAGCCATTTGGCACAACTGAGGTGTGAAACTGCTCAGTGCACATTCTACAATGCACAGAATAGCTGCCATGATAGAGAACTGTCCGGACCAAAATGTCTATAGTGTCTGTTCAAACCTAAGAAAGAGAGAACTGATCCCCAGTGGAGGGGAGTGACTTACCAAGGTCAGGCAGCACGTTTGAGTGGGAAGTGGGTTCACATGGCATTGGTAGACCAGAAGCCAGGTCTTCTCCTTAGACACTCTTCTCTTAATGATGAGTTGCTGTCCTATATGACCTACTTCCTTTCTTATGACTAGGTCATTAAGTGAATTTGTCGATAAGCGAGGAGCTTAAAGGTGGATGTCGTGTGGTGTGTCATGGAGCCGTAGGGTATGTATTTTCAACAGGTATCACATTCTAGCCAGCACCAGAAATCAACTGGTGAAACACCACAACAGAATAATGTAAATCTGGAATGATAGTTTTTATTTATTCTGAATTCTACTATGGGTGCGCAATAAAGTACAGATTTATAAGTGAAATATATGGTCTTGTATGATTGCGAGTGCTTTGGGTAGTGACTACTAACCAACTGTGGAAACCAGACAAAGACTGAGCAACAAGATTCTCCCCACCAGAGAACTGGTCATACGTCTGAGTGGTCATTAAACAGGTAGCGTGCCTACACTGGTGCCTTCCTCTCCCTGTGCAAGGGAAATCATCAGCTCTAATGGTGTTAATGGAGTCTTACAATCTGTCATTCTCAAGGCCCTTTCTCTTATGATCGTCCAAGCTCTGCTTTTGGAAATCCAGGTTTCTCTGTTCTGGGCTTGCTGATAGGATAGTTTGGGTTTAGCAAAAGAAAATTCAGGATGCCCAGTTATATCTGAATTTCAGATAATCAAGGTTTTATTTATCTATATAAATACATGTTATTAGTTTAACTATGTGCTATGCACTATTTAGGACATATTTAAGCTAAAAAATTATTTCTTGTTTTTCCTGAAATTCAGATGTAATGGACCATCCTGTCATTTGACACCTCTGTGCTCTCTACACACTGCCCTGCGATCATGTGCAGGTCGTGGTGCCCCTCTACCCCGATGTGATGCTGCAGGCATTCCTCACAGGCCCCTCTGCCTGGAGGGTGAAGGTGGGAAGTTGAACAGGCATCGTAGCTCCTGGTTAATCCGTAAGTGTGTGGGTTATTGGCCATTCACACTGGGCTAAAGGCCTGTAAGCTGAGAGGTCAACCAAGCCTGCCTTTATACAACTGGAGAATTGTTCACGTGAGGTTCCAGCAAGTGACCTGTCCCTGGACCAGATATGGAGGAAGTCATGGCAACTTTGCTCTTTAGCAGAGGCAGAGCGTTCTCTCCACTCCTGCTGCTTCCAGAGAGCACAGCTGCCAGGGCCGAGGTGTGCCTGGCTGCAGCATCTTCCAGGACTGAGGTGCTATCCCTGCATGGCCTCTGGGCTCTGAACCTGCCAAAGAGAGGGGGTCAGGGACAGGGTTGTATCTATAGAAGTACCTTGGAGCCAGTGGCCTGCACCCTGTCTGCTCATCTTACCCCAGCTACTTTGTTTAGAAGAGAAAGCTTTGTGTAGAGGTGGAGGATGTCCACCAGGTTGTGAAAATGTGACAGGGGGATGCTGGCCTGACTGTCTGTGCTCACAGCCTTACCCTGTCCTGCCTCCTCCCTTGCAGCCTGCTTCTTCCCTAGCCTAGACATTGGGTTCTGAAGCAGTTAGCAATCAATGGCATGGCGTGGCGGCCTGCTGCCCTGCCCCATCCCTTCCACCTCCCACCCAAGATCCAGGCTGGTGCTCCCAAAAGGAGGGGGCGGTGTAGGATGCGGTCTCCTCTCCCTAGAACAGCTTCTTGCTGAGGAACTCATCCTCATAGTCCCTCTTGAAAGGCTGTAGGCTGCCATGGCCTTAGTTAGGTGGTGCTTCTTGTTGACTCAAAACAGGCTTTGAGAGTTTTCAGGGGTAGCTACTTATAGGATTCACCAGGATGCCTGTCATCATATAGACATCCCTGGACCACCTGACCAATGGCGGGCTACACCTAGCCTTTACTGTGTTGGTGCTTAATAAGTGTATGTTGAGTAACTACATGACAGAGTTGAGCACAGCAACAGCACACTGCAAAAGGTATGTGATAATGAAGTCACTGGTCCTCAACCTGGAGCAGGTGTCAGCATCCCCTGGAGGCCTTGTTAGTCTGTGGGACCAGCCCAGCCGCAGGCTCAGGCCTCCAGTGATGCTGTTGGTCCCAGGCAACATATGTGGACTACTAACTGGCTTAAGTTACTGCTTGTTCCAAAATGTCTTGCATTTCACTTTTATATTTAGTTAAAGAATCATCAATTTACAATTTTTAAAAATATTGAATGCCTTACGGTTGTCACGGGCCAGCAGATGGTGTAGTGGTTAAGGCTTTGGATTCCCATGTGGCTGACTGCTGTTCGAGTCCTGTACATGTATGCTCAAAATCCCAGGAGGAGAATGGAGGAGAAGGAATTGTGGCATGGCCATCCCCCTGGGGGTTGATTTCTCACTTTCCCTCTCACTGTCTCGCTCTTCTCTTTCCTCTCTGGTGAGTGAATGCTCCTTATGACAAAAACAGTTGCCATGTGATCTAATTGCTTTTACTAGGGGCTGTGTTGAGGGTGTAATCAGAGTGTAGGGCACGAGGCTATCAGGCAGCATCCCTTGAAGTGAGTATTGCTTTCTCTCTCCCCACTGTCTGTCTCCATCTGTCTGTCTTCCTTTCTTCCTTTCTTTTTATTATTTTTTAGGTTTTTGGTATGGGACATGTGCTGAAGAGAGACAGAGAGAGGGAAAGTGAGAAATCACACACACCTTCCCCCCCTGGAGGGGTACGGGGAATGGCCACATCGTGATCCTTTCTCCTCCAGGCTCCTCTTAGGATTTTGTGCACACATGCACAAAAGCTAGATTTGGGACTTGAGCTATTGTTGACCATGTAGGATTCTAGTGCCTTAACTACTGTGCCACGTGCTGGCCCCACCCCGTCTGTCTTTCTCTGTTTGTGCGTGTTATACTTCTGTCTGGCTGCTTGTTCCACTTGACCAGTGAGATTCTGAACGGCAGTGGCTGAGATGATCTTGGTCTTCCTCCTTTATGTGTTTTCCAGTTCTGGGGACAAAACGGGCAGCCAACCAACCAAAGCATCGAAGAAATGAATGCTTCATGGTGGAATTTTAAGCCTAGGTGTGTATGTGTTTATTGATTTGGGCTCTGCTATTTATGCCTCATTCTCATGCTGACCTGGGTGGAGACCTGATTAAGCAGGAAGGTGTTCCTCCTCCCTTGTGCCCGGATTCAACTCTGCCTAAGTTTACGGGGAATGCTGTTGGCATTTCACCTGCAGGAGTCTTGAAACCTGCCAGGCTTTTAGCAAGCTCAATTCCAAGAGCCTTAAGTAGTCCTGATGTTCAAACTGATGCGTAGCTGGGGATGTATCATGGCCTGAGGGGACACATCCTTGCAACAGGGAGAGCAGGCAGGCACCTTTCTTTCTTCAGAACTTGAGGGGCTAGGTGAGAGTGGAGAGCCCTCCCATGCCTGACTGCTTGGGGCTATGAGTTCCACCTGGAAATCAAGAAAGGGGAAGTTGCTTCTTATTCTGAACAGGGCCAGGAGAAACCTGTGGGCTTGGCCTGGGGCCAGGGCTGGCTTCCTGAGACTTCTTCATGCACCCTAGATCTTGTCCTCCCAGCTTCAGGAGTGACAGGCAGAATTGAGCCTGCCATTGCCATCATTAGGAACAGACATTGGGAACAGCTCACCCTGGAGCGCTTACTGCATACAGAGCACTGTTTGTGAGCAGATTGAAGGGGTCAGGAGAGGTTGAGGACAGTCAATATTTATGGAGCCTGCACTCTCAGGCGTGGTGTCAAGCCTTCTGTGTGCATTACTTCACTTTATCTTTAGAACAGCTTTGGAAGGTGGAGTATAATTGGCTCCATTTTAAAGAAAAGAATACCAAGGCTTCAGAATTTGAGAAACTGCCCCCCAATCACTCCTTAAGTGAAAGGACAGCACCAGGTTTGGATTCAAGCAGGGGCACCCCAAAGCCTGGGTTATCACTCCAGGGTCCTGCTCTAATTAGTGGTGGTGAGGAGTGGGAGGCAGATGAAGGTGAGGGGGAAGAAAGTGCATATTTTGATTTGTGCTCAGTTTGCCTTCTCCTGGGTAGTGGTTTCCTCCAGGGGGTCTGTCCTGGCGATTGCAGCCTTCATTATCCCCTGCTTTCAATTTTTATAGTGACAATGAACTTGGTTTAGCTCCTTATTGTCATTGTCTCTGTCCTGGTAGGATTGTAACACCCTTGAAGGCAGAGACTGGCCTGGCTCCCTCCCGCTCTCCTAGGACATCTTTCTACAGAGGTCAGGTGGAGCCGATAAACATCCACACTCATTCAGAGCCGGGTATTGGTCCACACCTAGGTCCACACTACCTGTCCCCGTTTGCCTGTGACTATCCTGTTTTAGCACTGAAATTGGATAGATATCCTTGGAGACCCTTCAGTTTTGGGCAATCCAGGTCAGTTGGTCACCCACCCTATGCCTCCTTTGACAGGAAGGATACTTGTGCCTGGGGACAACAGTGTGGTCCAAGTCTCTCTCATGATCACTGCTGTAGGGCCGAATTCTGCGACTGGAGCAGGAGATCCGATCCTTTCTTCTCACTGCCTTTAGAGACGATGGCTCAGTCTCTGCCTTTTTAATTTTTAGAAATGATTGATTTAATTTTATTTATCATTATTATTATTATTATTTCAATTTACTACATGGCATGTGCGAGAGAGAGAGAGAGAGAGAGAAGAGACAGGTGGGGGAGAGGAGAGAGAGAGAGAAAGAGAGAGAGAGCGAGCGAGCAAGCACGCTAGAGCCATCAGGTCCAGGATTCAAATTGTGGTAAGCCATGTAGGAGTCCAGTGCCTCAACCACCATATCACCTGCTGGCCCCTCAGTCTCTGCCTTTAAGTTGCTGACTTTTTTCCCCCAAAGGGCAAAATGTACTCTTCTGGAGAAAAGAAATGGAGAGTGAGAAAGAGAGAAGTGAGAAAGCAACCTCTCCCTCCGCTTATGGGGAATAGCCATACTGCAATCCCTTCTCCTTCATTTCCCCTTTTGGGATATTGCATGACTTAGCATGAGTTTTAAGCCCTGAGGGGACACATCCTTGCAACAGGGAGAGCAGGCAGGCACCTTTCTTTCTTCAGAACTTGAGGGGCTAGGTGAGAGTGGAGAGCCCTCCCATGCCTGACTGCTTGGGGCTATGAGTTCCACCTGGAAATCAAGAAAGGGGAAGTTGCTTCTTATTCTGAACAGGGCCAGGAGAAACCTGTGGGCTTGGCCTGGGGCCAGGGCTGGCTTCCTGAGACTTCTTCATGCACCCTAGATCTTGTCCTCCCAGCTTCAGGAGTGACAGGCAGAATTGAGCCTGCCATTGCCATCATTAGGAACAGACATTGGGAACAGCTCACCCTGGAGCGCTTACTGCATACAGAGCACTGTTTGTGAGCAGATTGAAGGGGTCAGGAGAGGTTGAGGACAGTCAATATTTATGGAGCCTGCACTCTCAGGCGTGGTGTCAAGCCTTCTGTGTGCATTACTTCACTTTATCTTTAGAACAGCTTTGGAAGGTGGAGTATAATTGGCTCCATTTTAAAGAAAAGAATACCAAGGCTTCAGAATTTGAGAAACTGCCCCCCAATCACTCCTTAAGTGAAAGGACAGCACCAGGTTTGGATTCAAGCAGGGGCACCCCAAAGCCTGGGTTATCACTCCAGGGTCCTGCTCTAATTAGTGGTGGTGAGGAGTGGGAGGCAGATGAAGGTGAGGGGGAAGAAAGTGCATATTTTGATTTGTGCTCAGTTTGCCTTCTCCTGGGTAGTGGTTTCCTCCAGGGGGTCTGTCCTGGCGATTGCAGCCTTCATTATCCCCTGCTTTCAATTTTTATAGTGACAATGAACTTGGTTTAGCTCCTTATTGTCATTGTCTCTGTCCTGGTAGGATTGTAACACCCTTGAAGGCAGAGACTGGCCTGGCTCCCTCCCGCTCTCCTAGGACATCTTTCTACAGAGGTCAGGTGGAGCCGATAAACATCCACACTCATTCAGAGCCGGGTATTGGTCCACACCTAGGTCCACACTACCTGTCCCCGTTTGCCTGTGACTATCCTGTTTTAGCACTGAAATTGGATAGATATCCTTGGAGACCCTTCAGTTTTGGGCAATCCAGGTCAGTTGGTCACCCACCCTATGCCTCCTTTGACAGGAAGGATACTTGTGCCTGGGGACAACAGTGTGGTCCAAGTCTCTCTCATGATCACTGCTGTAGGGCCGAATTCTGCGACTGGAGCAGGAGATCCGATCCTTTCTTCTCACTGCCTTTAGAGACGATGGCTCAGTCTCTGCCTTTTTAATTTTTAGAAATGATTGATTTAATTTTATTTATCATTATTATTATTATTATTTCAATTTACTACATGGCATGTGCGAGAGAGAGAGAGAGAGAGAGAAGAGACAGGGGGGGGAGAGGAGAGAGAGAGAGAAAGAGAGAGAGAGCGAGCGAGCAAGCACGCTAGAGCCATCAGGTCCAGGATTCAAATTGTGGTAAGCCATGTAGGAGTCCAGTGCCTCAACCACCATATCACCTGCTGGCCCCTCAGTCTCTGCCTTTAAGTTGCTGACTTTTTTCCCCCAAAGGGCAAAATGTACTCTTCTGGAGAAAAGAAATGGAGAGTGAGAAAGAGAGAAGTGAGAAAGCAACCTCTCCCTCCGCTTATGGGGAATAGCCATACTGCAATCCCTTCTCCTTCATTTCCCCTTTTGGGATATTGGGCACACACATACACACACACACACACACACACACACAAACACATGCATTTGCACGCACACACACCCACCCACCCAGAGTGTTATCAAGCTGCCCGGTCTGAGACTCGAACCTTAAGCTTGGCCGTGTGGGATACAACCACTTTCACTACTACACCACCGTCCCGCCCAAGATGCTAGTCTTTAAAGCTGCTGTCTTCTCTCTGGACTCCTCCATGCTTCTCATCTTCTGTTGGAAAAACGACTCCCACAATCAAGAAGCAGTAGCCAAGCACTCTTTACTGAGGGTTTGCTCTGGGCTGGGCTTTGCTCTTTGCTCAGGACAGTTCTCGGAGGGGCAGCATGTGCCCTCTAGGGGCTTGTAGTTAATAAAAAAGAAATCACTTTTTCCAAATCAGAGCACAGCAATTTTTCAGGCATGACCTGTTGGCCAGCAGGGACAAGGGAACAATCGACAGGTCCTAATGGTCAGATTCTAGAAATGAAAACGCCGAATTCTAGGCCAGTGGTCTCCAAAATAGGATGCACTCAACTATGCTTGGAATGTGGGAAGGAAATAGAAGAGCACATACTTCTATTTCATCATCCTTTCAAATGCATGTCTTGCTGTACATTTTATCGTGTGTGTACACTGCACACGATGACGTGCATGTGCATATGAGGTGGTGTGTACTGGTGGGGACTGCTTGTTCAGAAGTGTTCACCGTGTTTTCAGTGAGGGGTTGTAATGACAGTGAGATAGCTCAGCTGGAAGCTGGATGTTAAAATCACGGTCAGTAGGGAGAGGTCAAGAAGAGGAGAGTTTTAGTGTAAATTAATTAGCTTAGAACACCCCTAAGTTAATGTTTCATCTAGATGATGCTGGGTGCTGTGTGCTTTATTTAAGGCAGTGGTTCCATGCACGGTGAGGTGCCTTCTTGCAGCCACGTTTTGCACATCTAATTTCCTCACCTCTGTAGCAAGGTGTTCATTAGCTGGAGGGTGGCAGGGAGACAGGGTAGGTAGCTGAGGTTCTCAAGGTGGGATTGCCACACTGATGGCACAAGCATTGCCTGGGAACTTGCTGGCCAGGCAGTCTCTGAAGCTCCACCCCAGACTCGCTGAGTCGGACACTGGGGGTGGGCCCAGCATTTTTGTTTGAACCATTCTTCCAGATGATTCTGATGCATGGGCAAGACTGAGAACCTCTGAGATACACTGGCAGGAGCACAGAGTTCGAGTCCTGATTCTGCTCCTGCTGTGTCGGTGGCCTGGGGCAAGTTACTTATGGCCCTGAACCTCCATTTCCCTCACCTGACAAATGAGAATTATGATACCTCTATGATAAGGGGCCTTCAAAATTTTCTAAAAGCTACAT